TTTATCGACAACTTTTTTTCACTTCCTTATTTGTTGAAAGAATGTGAGATTCGTGTGATTTGGATCTATCTTTTCAATTATTTCCTAACGCATTCACTGTCATGTGTTCAGCCAAGTGTCGACGACTAGTATCCTAGGTGTTTTACAGTCCTGATTTGATGTTTTAACCAACTTAATCCTTGCTGAAGAGAACTAAAAGTGCTGTTCCCCCCGGTACATGGTCAAGCTACACCGCTTTTTACTTATTTTAAATTTGCTTGTCTTTGGGTGCAACAACTTGGCGCGGTCATTTGCGATATGCTAATTTAGGACCCATGTCACATATGTGACACTGGGAGTAGGAAGTCAAGCGTACAACCTTTTAATGATATGTATTCGTCGTTCTGTTTTGTTAGTTCATGAAATTCATGAAGCACGTTAAATTTGTCCACAAATGTTCAGTTCATCCCACCCAGAGGGGTGGTTTGTATCTGACCAGTTAGCCAATTTCCATACCGTTCTGTGCGGGACCGATGATTAGGTTATTTCTCGGATAGCATAAGTTATGTGAATGCTGCAGCAACACTGAGTTGATGCATAGATTGCTTTCCCAGCCTCATTCGGGAGCAAAATCTGATCGTTTTCAGTGTGTTTGACTGCAGAAATTTGTTTGCAGTATTTATGCAAAATGCTGCATTGAAAAACTGTCAAACTTGACTTCGTATGCTCTCCATCCTGGGCAAAGAAATGTAGACTTAGCACGAAATCAAAAGGGGACGTTAGCACCTTTCTTCAACCCTTCACCTCGAAAGCAATTAATTTTAGTGCCTCACACATGGGTGGCGTGTGTTCTTTTGGTTTCGGATAGTTGGTAGCACCTAGTTTAGAGCTTAGCATAGATGCAAGATGTTTCTGGTCGGCAGTGTAAGGGTTGTGGTGGACCATTGTCCTCTTTGATTTTGATAATCCACGTGTTTGCTCCATGTGTGATGAAACTCCTGGAGGTTTTGATGGACCTCGAAGTCGTTTCTTATCAGTCGGTAAAATGTGAGTGCTAGTAACTCCTTTCTTACATAATTTCCAAAATGTCAACATTATTACTGTATCCTTGCCAAAGCTTGGATAGGCTCTTGGTTCTATGGATAAAAGCAGCAAATGTGTGGAATTTCGTTTACTTCATCCTCAAAATCGGTGCCATTTATTCTTGCCCTACCTAAACGCTGTTGTGTTAGCTGCGTAATTTGACCTGATTACCTTGTGGTAGCTGACTCCATCATAAGGATTTGTGTTGATTACGGTGAATGTTGACTACACCCACTCATTTGCTTTTGGGGATTCTGGCCTGGGTAATATATGTTATTATTATTATGTTATTATTTCTGTGGATTCTTTCCTATTCTCCTCCTCAAATATCTATTTTTTCTCATTTGTGTACTGCTTTGCCTTTTTTGCTTGGTAGAGCACAAGGTCCACGGATTACGCCTCCCATCGCGCCTTCTCTCTCATTGCGAGCAAATCCGCTGGAGTTAGTGCTTGACCTCACCAGTGCATCCTGGAGCTGTCGTTGCCTCTGTGAAGTTGCTCTCGGT